GCCTGGGACCCGTGCACGACTAGTCGCCAAGTCGCCAATACCAAAGGGTAGTCGCGGTCACGACTATCAATTTTGAGATAGTCGACTAGTCGGCATGCGGCGACTATTATCCCACGACTCACGACTATTAATCTGTACCACAACTATTCTCTGTGCGCGGCCACGACTAGTACAGGCAGCACCGCGAGTATCTGGTGAGACCGAGCCACTGTCGCGGCGACTTTTAATCTGCACCGCGCCGCTACACAAAGCACCGCACGTCCGTGTGTGAGACTGAGCCGCATTCTGTGTGCCACGACTAGATGCATATATGCATTACACACAGGAGCTCGAGCGTGTACTGTGCATGTACATGTATGTGAGACCGCGGCCGCGGCGATTGTACACCGCGCACATGGGCCAAGCATGAAGCCCTAGCCGCACATATCGGCCGTCCACACACACAATGCATTCAATACTTAACATGCAGCCACTGCATGCACTAATGAATTATCCACGTGTTTGGGTTTTTTCTCTAGACCGCATAAAACAGTGCACGGCGTCGTGGTCCATGTCTTGTAGTTTAACTCCATTTGGTAGTTGGAAGTTGTCATGGTCTCCTGGTTGCGTTCTGTAATACTTAATACATGTAGTAAAACCATGATTCTTGACAATCGGAGTATCGGACACGGGTCTCATTCTCAGTCTGATGCAGTTCGAAAGGTTTTTATTCTATGTGTTGAAAATGAACATGCAATTTGGAGATGAATTAAAATAAAAGTATCAGACAAACCGTGGAAAATTGAATGTCGGACTTTCTTATTCTGTTCTCTCGTTTTGTATTTCGTCTAATTCTTACTTACTAGGTTATTATCAAACTTCTCTGATGGAACAAAAATAAAACGAATGGAGTGCTCTACATGGGAAACTGATCTGTCAATAATAAGAGAATGGTTTAGTTTATGAGCCGAGAGAAAAAAAAATATGTTAGGCCTTGAATCTATTTCTTTCGGAGTTTGGAAAAGGGGGTACATCGGTCGGTTTCGGACTTCCGGCGACAGCTTTGACCAAATCTGGTTGTTTCTTTCTTAGTTTTTTGACCGCGACTGCAAATTAATGGCTAATTGCGGTAACAGCAACTATCTCACGACCGAGAAAAGTGGGATACTGGGATCGTGAGTCGTTCATTCTGCGAAGCAATGTACAATGTATAACACTGTAAACTTTTTATCACTTTCATGGGTGGTAATTAATGAAGCGCCAGTGGGCCCAATAAAGTTTTGCTAGGATGTGTAATCCCTTTGAAAAAGGGATTACCACCAACATAAATTGTCTGGCACCTACTTTTTGTGGCCTTGTTGTCTTCTTGAGTGAATAAAATAGAGGCGGCGATTGTCTTCAAGTCGGCATCAAGTGAGTTTATTTGTGTTTGAATTGGTAAATTGGGTTGGGTTGGATAAACATTCAGGCATTCGGTGAGACAATGATAATCTTTGCTGTGTTGTCACCGACAGTCATAATATCGGAAACCAACTAGTCAACCCCCTCTTGAAAAATTTGTCCGCATCAGACCATAGAGAATCAGACTAAGATCAGACAGTGATAAGTCCCCTTCGAAAATGCCGTTTCCAACATCGGATCTGCTGCTAAAAAAGCACTTGGCACCGAAAAAAGATGCCAAAAGTGAAATCTGGAAATATTTTGGATATCCGCTGGATCCGAACGACGACAAAGTCATTATCAGCGATGCAAAGGTTGTCTGCGCGATTTGCGATGCACAGCTCGTCTCCTCTGGTAACACCAGCAGTTTGAGGAACCATTTGCGATCCAAGCATCCTCGTGAATATCGTGAGTTTTCGGAGAGTTGCCCAAAGACTGCAGTTCCGCCTGCACCGAGCAAGCATGGATCGTCAACATCAGGATCCCAAAGCCAACAGCCAAAAATCGACGTAAGTATCTATTGTAAATCTGTAATGCGGTTTTCGTGCAACCGTCACCGTTCTCATGAGGAATCAAATTGTGGCTAAACTGACTGGTCCATCTTTTGGTATACATGGTGATACATCGTTTTTACCAAATATATTTAAGTAATCCAAATCACGGTGATTTCATGGGGTTTTGAAACATTTGTTTACCGCTTAAATTTTGCAATGCTCAATTGCTCACTCTCACCGATACGGCCTCGCAAAAAAGTGCGGTGCGCACCTACGCACTTTAATTGGTGCCCTTATTAATGGTCTACTTTTTCTGTCTTGTTTTGTTAACTGCAGACTGTGTTCAAGAAAGCTGGACAATATTCATCCAACAGCCACCAAGCAAAAGTGCTAACCGAAGCTGTAGCATATCACATTGCCCGAGATATGAAGCCACTCAACACTGTTGAAGAGCCAGGTTTTGTTCGGATGTTGGAAAGGTTTGACAGCAGGTATTGTCTGCCATCAAGGAAGACGTTCTCGACCGTCATCATTCCCAAGATGTACGAAGACCTCCGTGCCTCAACAGTGGTCCCTCTTGTTGCTGAGGTCACTTCATTTGCCCTGACAGCAGACCTCTGGACAGCCCGGAATATGGCACAATTTCTTGGCGTGACCATTCACGCCATAAACTCATCGTGGGAACTAAAAACTTTCACGTTGGAGAATACCGAATGTCCCCCACCCCATGATGCTGAAAGTATTTCTTTC